TCAACATCTGACCTGTGGACCAGAGCTGGTCTGCAAGACCATGTCATCCAGTCCACAGGTATGTAAATTTGGCAGAGGGGGAGCACTGGCGGAGCTAATGGCTGGTCCCCTTCTGCCAAATACCTGGACTCAAGGGATCCCTGTGGGCCGGATGACGTGGCCCTTGCACTAGATCGTGGTAGCACGCGGTGAGGCCAGTGAGTGGGGTCACTCTGTAGCCAGGTTTGCTGCATGCAGTCAGGCCAGATCCAACTCACAGGGTCCATGGCCATGCATGAAATTGGGCTGGTGCACCAGACTACACCCATGTACCAACCCCATGGTTGGGATCTGGCCCATGGACCAGCCCTCCCGTGGCACTGGAAGGCTGAGCACCGCTGAGCTAGACAATTCTTAGACAAAAATTGTCCTCAACATCACTGCTTGTCCTAGGGGCTCTGACGGCCACGTGGCCTTTATGCCCTCTGAGAGCCCAAGGTATGAATACACAACACGAGAAAAAAAATGCGCAAGAAGAGCAGGACTGCACACGAAGAAAATAGTGAGAGAACTTGACTCAGTGTGAAGCTAAATCCCATTGATATCCTGAAGGAGATCATGTGCCACAGACTGCCAGGCATGGCCCTATTCTGCCTCCCAGTACATTTCAGCCTCTGGCATCTGGGACTGCAAATGTGCAGGAGAATCTCACTAACAGGCACTTTGCTAACTGAGGAATACACCCCATGAGCTGGCAGGACACTTCTCACCTCAGTGCTAGAGTGAGGCTTCCCATGGCTGACCTTCATCTCTATGTGCCTTAGTGGTGTACCACACACATGCTAGACAGCATCAGCACCCATTCAAACTAAACTGCAAGGCCCCAAAGGGAACGAACAGAAGCAGCAAGTTTTGCAATGGTGCCCAGATTTCAGCAGTGCGTGCGAGCACAGCACTTCATCACTGGACAAGGCCCAGTGGCCTCACAGTCAGCAGCAGCAAAGAGCACATGCATGCATCGACCCATGTACTGTTGAACCATAATAACTTATATAGATGCTGCTCTAGGAGAGTGACAACAACAGTTGTGCTAGACAACAGCAGTATAGGCAAACTCAGATAGCACGAGTCCTCTTTATATCACACCCCACCTATTATCACACATTTCATTTCAATTTCTGAATTCTATACTATAGCAGCATCAAACATGCAGTGGCACTCAATGTTGTGGGGGAAGAGATGAGTGGGGGCAGCGTGAGATGGTCTGTACACCCAGCGGCAGGGAATATGGCCCACCCAAGGAACTCAGTTTGACACCCCTACCATACATCAGAGTGCAAAAACCCTTACCTCCATGTATTGTGACTCTGGATATTGTCAAAAACTGAAGCAATCTTCATTGGGTATCCAACACTGTTCATTGCTATCCAACAATGTTCCAAAGAGGAGTTGGATAGCAGAGAATTCCTGTCAAAGGAATTTGCCTTGTTGAAGAAATACATGTAAACACCATACCATTCTCTGCTGCTTGTTTTAAATCCTAAAACAGGCTGGTCAAGGGCTTGCCCAGGACCTGGCAATGTGGGGTACCAGCAGGGCCCAAGCACAGCTTGTCCACAGATTTAGTGTCTCATGTGTGATTTCCTCATGGTCAAGTTCCATAAATGCACAAGTAGTTCCATAGTATGGTGACTTATAGAGCTTGTTTGTGACCCTCTTGGAAAAAAAGACAAAAAAATGAATGAAAGGATCAGAATGGGCCAAGCTCAAGGGTTATATTGTACTCAAACAGCATAGCCCTTGAAGGAATGGGCATGTGGGCTGAGGAAGGAATGAACTTTGTCTCTCGGAGTATTTCAATACAGGCATGAGTCCCCACTACTGTTGTGCCAGACGCTATGAATGCATGAACCTGAACCACAGTTTGGTTGGACTGTAATGGCAGAGCATGGCTTAGAAGGAAAGAGCTCAGGAGGAGGAAAGACAGTTCAGCATGCGGAGGAGAAGGGTCAACTTGCAAAGAATAAAAAGACAGTGGGCCTCCAAGAGCTGACAGAAGGTGCTGCGAGGTTTGTGGCT